GTACGCATTGTTTTTTTCCAGAATTATCCATATCCCAGAGCCAGAACTCTCATCATAAATTACAGCCACCGTACCCCACTTTACCAGCTGCTTCTCCAAGGCTGCTGCATCTTCAGGCAGGAGTTTGCTCCAAGCTCACCCTACCTCCGACGAACCCCTCCAAGGAAGCCTCTTACCCCGCCATATATTCTGCCAACCTATTCTTTCTTGCTACGCCGTCTCGTATCTACGGCCTTCTCTAGACCCTACTGAGTCTTCATCTAGACCTCGCTTGCTTGAATCGTCTATTGAAGGCCGAGGAGCGCAGCGTACAGTACTGTCAACTTCTGGAGCGGAATGTCTGTTTCCATACAAGAGTTGGACAACACAGTCCGGGCCTTCTATGAGGGCAAGGGAGATCTGGTATGTCGCAAGGAGCTGGGCGCTTATGACTTTTAATGTGTGTCCTCATAATTGGGATGTGAACTGACCTGGTATGCGACTCACAGCAAAAGCAAGCTCAGCAGACCCTGACGGAGGTGAGTGACCGAATTGCATAGCACATATCATTCATCTAGCTCTGACTTGTTCCCGGCGACCAGTTCAAGCAAAATCCGGATGCTTGGTTAATTGTGGGAAATATTCTCCAAGAATCAACATACCCACAGACAAAATGTGCGAGACGATGCCTCACTCTATGCTGCAGACGGCTGTGCGCTGATAGAATCAGATCTTGCTCTCCAGGTCCTTGACGATGTGATTATGACGCGATGGAAGGTCTTACCCAGGGAGCAATGCCTAGGTGATTTCTTTAAGCTAACCTCGATTGTCAAACTATTCTAACATCCTCAGGTATTCGGAATTTTATTGTCAACTTCATCATCGAAAACTCGAAATCGGAGGACAAGCTAAGGAATGAGCGAGCCTTTCTTAATAAGCTCAACCTGGTTCTCGTTTCCATCCTGAAACAAGAGTGGCCACATAACTGGCCAACTTTTATCAACGAAATCATCTCGTCTTGCCATACCAGCCTGTCCATCTGCGAGAATAACATGGCGATCCTTCGTCTACTATCCGAAGAAGTGTTTGACTTTTCCCAGGATCAAATGACTTCGGTCAAAGCGAGAAACTTGAAGACCTCAATGACGCAGGAGTTCTCGTCCATTTTCCAGCTATGTTCCGAGGTCTTGAACACGGCGAACCAGCCAAGTCTTGTCAAAGCTACGCTAGAGACTCTGCTTCGTTTCTTGAACTGGATTCCTTTAGGATATATCTTCGAAACTCCCATCATAAACACCCTGCTGACGCGGTTTCTGGATGTTCCTGAGTTCAGAAATGTCACACTCAAGTGCCTCACTGAAATCGGCGGGTTACAAATCGGCAACCCGTACAATTACGATGAAAGGCTGGTCCATATGTTCACAGAGACTCTGACTGCAGTTTCAAGAATCATCCCCTTGTCCATGGATTTGAAACAGACCTATGCTAAGAGCAACTCGAGGGACCAAGAGTTCGTTCTCAACCTGGCACTGTTTCTTTCTAGCTTTTTTAGCGCTCATCTGAATGTGAGTTCTCATGGCATAACAATCAGGTTCATGCTAACTCATCAAGCTGATCGAAAAATTGCCCAACCGTGACTACCTCACCCACGCCCATTTCTACCTCATTCGTATCAGTCAAATTGACGACAGGGAAGTCTTCAAGATCTGCCTGGAATATTGGACGAGACTAGTGCAAGAACTGTACGAAGAGATGCAGCAGCTTCCAATTACAGATATCAATCCTCTGGTGAGTATGGGTGTTAGCGGCCTGTCGAACGGAGGTGCACCGCATCCCAGCACGTTGGCCAACTATCCTCTCCGGAAACACAAGTATGAGGAGGTTTTATCAAGCCTTCGCACAGTCATGATTGAGAAGATGGTGCGCCCTGAGGAAGTCTTGATTGTTGAAAATGACGAAGGCGAAATTGTTCGCGAATTCGTTAAGGAAAGTGACACCATTCAACTTTACAAGACGATACGCGAATGCCTGGTCTATCTGACTCATCTGGATGTCGTCGACACAGAGAATATCATGATTGAAAAGTTAGCCAAGCAGGTTGACGGGTCCGAATGGTCCTGGGCCAATTGTAACACTCTCTGCTGGGCCATTGGTTCAATTTCCGGAGCCATGAATGAAGAGACCGAGAAGCGATTCCTGGTCAACGTCATCAAAGATCTCCTTGGTCTTACCGAAATGAAGCGTGGAAAGGACAACAAAGCCGTCGTGGCCAGTAATATCATGTACATTGTCGGACAGTATCCGAGATTCCTGAAAGCGCACTGGAAATTCTTGAAGACCGTGGTGAACAAGCTTTTCGAGTTCATGCATGAGACTCATGAAGGTGTGTTGCTGCCCTGCAGATGGAAAGTCATTAGCTAACCCAAACCAGGTGTTCAGGACATGGCTTGCGATACATTCATCAAGATTGCGAATAAATGCAGGCGGCATTTTGTTGCGCTTCAACCGGGGGAGAACGAACCATTCATTGAGGAAATCGTTCGCAATATGAGGAAAATTACTTGTGATCTTTCTCCTCAGCAGGTCCACACATTCTACGAAGCCTGTGGCTACATGATCTCGGCACAAGGCCAAAAGGGCCTCCAGGACCGACTGATCGAAAATTTGATGTCCCTGCCTAACTCAGCCTGGGATGCCATCATAGAGCAGGCAAACCAGAACCCCGCTATACTTCAAGATGGCGAGACGATAAAAATCATCGGAAATATTATGAAGACGAATGTCGCAGCATGTTCCTCTGTGGGCACTTACTTCTATTCCCAGCTTGGACGGATTTATCATGACATGCTCAATATGTTCCGTGCCTCCAGCCAGCTTATCAGTGACGCTGTAGCGCATGATGGTAAGGATGTCTTCTTCTGTCCCCGCCACACTCTTACCTCTCGTCATTCCCGTTTCACTTCACCCCTTATGCAGCGAGCATGTCAGTTGTTAGGGCTTTCTGACCAGTATATAGGCAACATTGCAACGAAGACCCCGAAAGTCCGGGGTCTAAGGACGATCAAGAAGGAAATACTGAAGCTCATCGACACCTATGTGCAGAAAGCCGACGACCTGGAAATGGTAAATGCAAACATGGTCCCTCCGCTCCTGGAGGCCGTTCTCGTCGACTACAATCGCAATGTCCCTGACGCGCGCGAGGCGGAGGTCTTGAACGTCATGACAACGATTATTCACAAGTTACACGTACGCCAGCCCCACTAGATGACATTGAAGCCTTGCAGGATTGATATGAAGCTGACATGTGCTATCCAGAATCTGATGGAAGACAAAGTCCCCTTGATAATGGAGAGCGTCTTTGAATGCACACTAGAAATGATCAACAAAGACTTCCATGACTATCCAGAGCACCGTGTCCAGTTCTTCAAGTTGATTCAAGCTATCAACTTGTACTGTTTCCCGGCATTGCTCAAGCTCGATGCTACGCAATTCAAGTTTGTCATCGACTCTTGCATGTGGGCCAGCAAACACGACAATCGTGAAGTCGAGAATACAGGTCTCACAATGTGCCTTGAGCTCATGAACAACATGGCCGACACTGATGCTCAGACCTCAAATATTTTCTTCCAACAGTTTTACATTCCTATCTTGCAGGATGTATTCTTTGTCCTGACAGACAGTGATCATAAAGCCGGTATGTAGTCTAGTTCCTGTAGACAGAAGTGTGCTAATGTCTATTATAACAGGGTTCAAATCACAGGCCATGCTATTGTCGCGCATGTTCTACTTCATTGAGTCTGGCAAAGTGCAAAACCCGATTTATTCTCCTGAGCAGGCACCCTTAGGGACATCCAACAAGGATTTCTTGCAGGAATATGTCGCGAATCTCCTACAAAATGCCTTCAAGAATCTCCAGGAGTACGTTCTACCCGATCATGAGGAGCATATGAGCCCAAGGAAACCGAATGATTGGCTAATATTTTCCCAGAATCCAAATCAAACAATTTGTTGTTGGCTTGTTTGCATTCAATGACGACTTTAACAAGTTCAAGACGCACCTGCGTGATTTCTTGATATCACTGAAGGAGTTCTCCGGTGATAACGCAGACTTGTATGCGGAAGAAAGGGAGCAAGCCTTGCGGGATGCTAAAGCCGCTGAACGAGACCGAGCAATGAGGGTAGGTGGTCTCTTGAAGCCATCCGAAATGGATCAAGAGGATGAGCTATGACTGGACAAGGAACTGCGTTCCGAAGTTGCGCTATCAACTACCGATACCACAGCGCATGGCAATGATCCCAGATCTTTATCGGCAAGTGACTGGTTTGATGGCTGGTCGTGTTATGGACTCTAAGTTTGAACTAATTGCCAGTTAACGAACAAGAAATTATCAGTGCGTATTGGGTTTCTTTCATCATATGGTCCTCATGTAAAGTCAGTCTTGGTGCTTCCAGAGCGCAGCGCGATATTCCTCCGCTCCTTCCTTCGTGCCTTCCCTCAACAATCATTTTGCAGTGACAATTTTTTGAAGCTCTCCACCCAACGGAATTAAAAAAAAAAAGAATGAAAGAAAATATAAGAAGAGACCAGTAGCCTGTTTAAAAGTAGCCAGGCGCTGCGGTGACAAGGTCGTAGAAATTCCAAAACGGAGCAAGAAGTAATGGAACATAGATATATTCTCTCGGAGATGGCCATTCAACTACAAAGAGGCCATTCTACTTAAGGAGTAGTCTAGTAGTATCCAGAACAAAGATCAAGCATTCATTATTCTACACATGAATAATTGTTGTGCAAGTAAACCCCAACGTCTATCAGTAGTAGTTGAGCGCGTACCAGAAGCGAAAAGGCGGTGTGAGGCCGGCCTCTTGCTGTGAAGCAACGCCGTCAGAAGCAAACCCCATTTATCTGAACGCTCTAATGGTCCAAGAGACACTTTAGCCCCCACGATAATAAACTTTGTCCCATAACAGCATCAGGACGCCTCTCCGCAGACGGAGTTGCGCCAATATTGAATTTTATTACCATGTCTCGGACTCGTCAAATACCGTCTGAGCCAGCAAGTAGTTCTCAACTGGAATTGACAGAGGAGCATACCAACACTTCGTCAGCTATTCCAGGTCCAGCAACACTGAGGTTAAGAGCAGCAGATGAGCCTGCTGCTAACCGGCCCGAAATGAATGAGGGCACCTCCCGACGTATACGCTGGAGTGAAGATGTCATAGATAACGAAGGAATGGGAAAAAAGAGTTCCAAAGGTAATCCTTCCCTAGCCAATGGATTTTCCGAAACTGTGCTCACATATGGCAGTGTGCTGCATCTATCACAAAAGCCGACCTATTGGCGATAGTAGCTCCGAGTCCGAATCCTCGGACTCCAGTACTTCTAATTCGGACACAGATAGCGACGGCGAAGCGGCCTGCCATAGAAGGACGGGACACCGCCCGCCCACAGGGCAGGGAGAAGACTATGCTTCTTCTGGTCAGAGGCCTCCATCGAACAGAGAAGGAAGAACCTGCCGATCAAGTCACCGAACGAAGAAAACGAAACGAAAACCAAGCCCAAATGCCTATGAGAAAATGCCAAAGACTACGAAGGGCCGTTAAGATATCCGAGATCTTTCGCAGACTAACGCTGTGATTCATCCTCAGTATCCAGCAGTTAAGGTCTCCCACAATAGTGTTTGTTATATGCCATGAGAGGAATTATCTTAATCACATGCAATACGATAACGACATCAATTGATACGCCCCATCAAATCTGCATTCTCAGTATCGTTCGAATGGAAACCCACACTGACTATCAAGGTCAGCCTTTTCTTACCTGTCCCCTGAGCATCCTTGGATAGCACGGATGTCTCATAGTACTTCTTCTAGCATGAATTTTCAAGACGGGTTTGCCCAGGTTATCTATACAATACACGTAAGTATTACTGGGTGGTTGAAGATGGTGCAGGACATCAGACATATTTCAGAAGGCTTGCTGGAATTTGTACAGAACTAGAAAGCGAATAAAGGGAATGAATGGATGAGGGGACAATCAAAGAAAGAAGTGGTAATGCTGTGATTATAAAGGGTGAGCCGATTGTAGACTCCGTTTATCAAGAACTATGAATGAAGTATATTTCACAGCATCATGCTTTTCCTTCTAGCCATAGCAGCCGCGGCACGTTGCCCGCGCTTAGTCCGTCCTGAATTGGCCAGCCTCGAAGTAGACAAGTCTGCTCCAGTACTCGCTTCTGGTTTCTGTGTAGGAAGGCTCGGTTTGACGAATTCTTCAAGGGATCTTGTCGAGTATGAATTACCTGCACGGGCCTCTGCTGGAGAGTCATCTCGGCTGTCTATGCCTATAGAGCCGTTGTTTGCTGGTTGAAGTTCACTTTTTCTGGATGACTCGGGCTGCGAGGAATGCCGTCTAGAATTCCGAGCTGTAGCAGGTCTGGCCTTGCACTCAATAGGGGGGACGTTCCTCGTAACATCATTACCAACCATCTGTGACGGCTGCGTCTGACAATTGGCATCTTCGGCCATTACTTCATCGACTTTACTACTCCCAGCCACCCAGTGATGAGGATATGCCCCTGTAGACTCGTGAATGCCTTCAGGTGCCATATCGCACTTGCTTGCCGGAGAAGTCTTCCGTTTCCTCTGAGATACCGAGTTCATTTGCTGGGTGGATGAATCTGCTGCTGCCTCTGTCGTCGATAATCTAGGTTCTTTGCCTGAAGAATCCGAGTTCCGCGGTCTTCGACCATTCGATCGCCCATTCTTGCGCAGGTCCTCATCCTCGTTCGAATCCAGCCGTGCATTGAGAGAGCTAGAGCTTCGTCTTGGGTGATCGCCAACTGCTGCTATCAATTCCTTCGTAGGTCGCCTCATCTTGTCTCGTAAATTTGGCTCCGCATAGCTCACAATGGCTCTCTGACGCCTGGAAGGCCTTGTTGGGCCGGACACCTCAGGCAAACTCCTTGGTCCGCTCTCAGTTTCTGGTAGCGTCGACGACTGCGAGTTGGGCTCAGATTTAACCATGGGATTTTCGTTAAATTTCTTCTCATCTGTGGACTGATAGATTCGACACTGTCCAGGCGTCAACTCTTGCCTCGACTGCTCGAGATCCGTGCTTTTTTCGGGGGGTGTTTGGGACAACCCAACTTGCCCATCCTTTTCGTCAACGGAGGATAATGTGCCCTTCTGGTGCTTCTCTTGCACCATTGTAGTATGTGCTTTCGTTGGGCTGGTCACATTCATGTTCGTGCTTCCTACATCATCATTAGCTGATCAAATCTCAGTATTGCGGTGGCACGGCACAGCACATACTATGCTCCAATGCTTTCCGTTTTGCCAACCTGTGACTCATTGCCTCTTCTGTCAAAAGTGATGCCTTCCCTCTCGATGGGCTATCATCAGCCTCTGAAGACAGCGACTGCTCGTTGTTGCCCACCGATGAAGGTGACTGCATGCCTGTCCGAGGAACGTCGGAATTTCTCGATAACGATTCTATTGTGTCTTCGTGATGCACCGAAAATTTGCGCTTGGCTCCTGGGCCAAAGATAGCCTCAGGGATGTTTCGTTTCGAGGTTGCCCCGTGATCCATGCTAGGACTTATCATTTGCTTTGATGCTAAGTTGGGCCTTTTTCTTTTCCTGGTTTCAAGAGTTGGGGGCAAAACTGCCTCGTCCTCGTCCGATATGTGCTCGACGTGTCTTGGTGCCTGCTGCGCATTCATGATATCGGAAGTATCATTCGTAGAGGAGCTGTCGTCCGCTGTGTCTGGGTGCGTGGCTACAGGTTCTTCCGGAGTGGGAGATCGCAGATTATCGGCAGTGTTATATCGGATATCTTGCAGCTCTTGCGGCCTGTTCATGGTAAGCATTGAAGATTTAAGGCTCGGGGTTTCGTTTCCTTACTCTAATGTTCTTCTGGGGTAATATTTGTCTTCCAGGATGACAGGAAGCCTTCCGTCTTCGTCTTTCCCATGATTGAGCTCATCATCAGCAGCCTTCGGTTTCCAATCCGGCAGTGCCCGATGTTGGCTCGAATCTCGAGGATTCTCTGCACATTTGCTGTAGAACGTGCGCGGAAGTGCGCCAAGGTCAGCCACCAGGTTGTTCAGCTCCGCCAACTTGCTGTCTAGTCTTGTCTTGATGTCGTAAACACCATGCTGGAGTAGCCGGACAGCCTCAAATCTCTCTACCTCCTGGCTAAGACCTATTACTTGCTCCCGAAGCGAGACATTTTCTGAGAGGAGATGAGAGACTTCAGATTCCAGGCTGCGAATGCGGAGGGACTGTATCGAGTTTACTCGGGCGATCTCACGATTCTGTCGCACAAACCGTCGTTTTACTAATGTGGCGCTAGAGTCAGCTTCAGTAAATTCCCAGCGGGGAGGGGTTGCGGTGCTTACAGGCCTCTATGTGCTCTGTTGGAGCTGACGATTCATTTAAGCGAGCCATACCCGGCATAAGGAGGCAAGACTGCGGTCAATTCCTCTAGCAGTCAATCGCCCAGAGACCAGGTATATCAGAAGTAGCAAAGGCAGCCAGCATCCACACTTATTTCGTATTGTAGATAGTATCTCGCCTCCTTATCCGAATTAACCGGTGAGTAAACAAGAGTGGGTGGATGTGGCCCCGTGATAGTTGACAAACGCGGGTTGGTTGTTGACAAATGCCCTTATCGGGACTAGTGTGATTGCTGTCAGTCTGCGACCGCTCAAATGGTGCATCATAATATCATAGAAGCTAGTCGCATTGAATCATTCACAAATTACCTTTCAGTTTATCATCTAGCTGCAGCTCCCTTTAAAAAACCGACATTCTCGTGTAATACAGCTCTTCGCTAGATCTACAAGCCACAACTGCAGTTATACAAACTAGCGTGCAGTCTGTGCAGCCTGCGTCTTTCACTATTCACCATCCGTTAATATACCCCGCCTCTATTGATTTCAAATAGGGTCAGACATCTACAAACCGCGGCCAGTAGCAACAAATCTTCTACATCATGGCATACATGTCTCGTACTGCTTCCATGCTCCCTCCCGGATCCTCGGCCACATCCTCGTTTCGTCAGCCAAACCAACAATCTACAACAATCTCACAGCAACAGTCTTCGGTCCTAGCATCCCGCATTGCAGCAAAAAGGGCTGAACTAGACAATCTGAGGCAGCTTCGTGATATGAGTGCAGCACTGGCCTCGCAGATGCAGGCTTTACAGGACAAGCTTGGGACCCTCAAGGATGGCACAGAAGGTTTGTCAATTCGAAATATCATGGTGGAGTATGTCCTGATTGACTCTCGTGTTGGCTGTAGCTGTCGCGTGTGTCCTTGCAAACTGGGATAATGTACTGCGGGCCATCAGCATGGCCTCGAGTAAGTTTGCTCTCTGGTGTAGATTTGCTCTCAAACGATGCTGATCAAATTAAAAAGCGAAAGCCGCGAACTTGAACTCACCGATGGAACACACGCCAGATTCAACTACCAAAAGACTACCGAATGGCTCACCTATGCCTGCTACCCTGGTACGGATCCCCGTCCCAAAGCAGGAAGAGCCTCCTAGCCAGTGAATCACTGTGTACAAAATATTGGCTCTTGGCTCGGGACATGCATATTATGCATCCACAGACGTCCTTTGGCAGGTAACCCAATGCCTGTGAATGAGGTCAGACTCTCATTGGCTTAAAAGGTGAGCCGTATTCTGCATGGTCGAGTATAGCAACGGGGTCTACAGGAGTATCATTTACAAGTAGGCCGGGATGCCGCCTACATGGAATCAAAAACTACGCGCTGGACGTCGTGGATGTTCTTGGTCATCTCTGGCATTGTCTGAAGCGACGGTATTGGATGCAGAGAGTTTCAGTTGTTTGTGGTAGCGGGCATCTGGCGCAGGGTAGGGGGAAGGGGGTTGCTTTCTGGTTGCAAAATGAGCCTCTCCTGGGACTGTCGGGATATCGCGTAGGAGAAGAGTGCCTGAGGATAGGTTATTCTGCCTAAAGGGGCAGTTGTCCGTCGGCCTAATCTGTCGGTGGACAGTTGGGGATAGCCTGCATATCAAGGGATGATACGGATATTTTTCTCGCATACTCCATGCCAGTTTATATTTCCGCCGTGACTGTTTCCTCTTCTGAGTGATTAGCAGGGGCTCTCTCCTTGATGGATAGGTAAGCACGGGTTACGGTCCAGGGAATTAGAAGGGCTTTGTCGATCAGTCTGGCGCCAAATATGGCTTCCAGTGGGCTACTTACATCAACGCCCAGCAGTTTGCTGGGAATCGCGCATGCGTTGTCGAGCTCGATTTAATAGAAAGGAGTCATCCATCTGGTCTCGGCAGAAGACAAGTCCATTTCATCTCTCCGTGGGCCTACCGTAGAGACTGTTGTTATGTTCAGCTTACATCTGGCATGATACGGGTTTGTTCATCAAAAGTGTGCGAAGGCAAACAACATCAATTTTATTTTGGAGGTTTTAGTCTTGGGGATCCCGTTGACATCTCTTGTGTCCTTCGAATTATACCTACTCAGAGAACTTGACCCCGCGTGGTTATGATAGAATAACATATTACAATGGTGGTTTCTTGCTGCTATTGGACTAGGTCATTGTACTTTGCAGTTTGGATACGGATTCCAGTGCGCTCTACGAGTGGGGGGAGAAGAAAAGAAAAGAAAAGAAAAGAAAAGAAAAAATTGGCGCAAAAAATGGAGTTGCGGGGAATCGAACCCCGGACCTCTCCCATGCTAAGGGAATATTATACCACTAAACCACAACCCCATATTGGTTGTTTGCGGAACACATCTAAGAACTCAACATCTCTGGTTTGATTTCAAGTGTACCAAAATGATGTGCTGAGTGAGATGTTCGGGCTAAAGCAGGTACTGTGGGGTTGTGCTGCGGGTTATGTTTTAGTCGGTGCTTTGGCCCTCCGGAAGCCATTCAATATATGCAGGTGTCACGAAGGTTTGGAGCTGGACACATTCTTAGCTCTCATCGATGTGTAGGACTCCTGCCACGGGCGATCATTGCTTTATTTCAGGATCGAGAAAAACACGATGGCAGTCCCTTGTCTGCGCTTACCAAGTGGGTCTACCAGCTTCCCAGCGTGTGAACAGCAATACCTGGTACTTGTGTCTATTCCTCTGCTAGGTTGCGTCTTGTCGTGATATCTGGAAATAGTGCAGTGTGGTCTAGGAAGATTCTTCTTGCTCGGGGTTTTTTCTCGGTACCATGGTATACTTTTCTCCCATTTAAAGGGGACGGGCAGTATGATATGGTAACTCGTGTCGCCCGCTGTTGACACACGTAGTATATATATATATGTATCTACCATGAACTTGCCAGTACGTTATCGCCGACCAAACACCAATTTGATGTCACCCCAAACCAACATTCCCAGAACCTGCCCCGAGTGCGCATCAGGAGTAGACGACCCAGTTACTGCAAACAAGCCAACCGCACGGCCATCCAATGGAAAGCCCGGACCTCAAGCCCAGGAGCTTGGGACGCGTATCATGTATAGATTCATCTAGGCAGACCTAGGTACTAGGTAGAGGTCCTCAAAGAGAGGTACCTGACCCTATCACATACATCACACTGCCTGCCAGAACTAGGCGGTGTGAATGTATAAAGGTAATTGATAAGGTAGTTCTTGATTCCTAACGGTCAATTGCTTGAATACCCAACTGGCCACTTCCCGGAAACCATAGGAAACCGTGGCAGGAGACTGTACCATAAGACATCACCTGATTTATCCCATAAGTGACTAGGTAGTTGATGGATGTTGCTGATTGCAACCGAGACCATCCACGTTTCTGGGGTTGGGCTAAGGTTTGCAAGAATATTTATCAATATCTAGTGATCTACCGCGATGCGTACAGGCTTGGTGGACTATATAGCCTTTCATTTTACAAAGTACACTATAAAGGGGTTGTGGTTTAGTGGTATAATATTCCCTTAGCATGGGAGAGGTCCGGGGTTCGATTCCCCGCAACTCCATTTTTTGGTATTTTTATGTTATATATTTTGGTGTTCCGTAAGAATGCGGTATACGCGTTGAATGATAAATGCACTGGCCATGTATATGAAAATATGGATAGATAGGATACAGCCCAGCTAAGGTGTTGATGATGTCTTGCGATTACAATCATTGCAACATGCATAACTTTCTGCAGCCAAATACAGTACGTCATATAAGTAAAACTATACTTGAGTATATATAAGATGGGGCTGTGGTTTAGTGGTATAATATTCCCTTAGCATGGGAGAGGTCCGGGGTTCGATTCCCCGCAGCTCCAATTTTTGCACATTTTTTCCCCCTTCTCGTTAATCAATCGACAATGGGAATGTGATTCTCCATGTATAGTATAGACGCATACACACGCCCTCTTGAGTCATCAACACTAGATGAAATTTTGCATGAAGGCACATGGATAATGCTTCATAGACACCAAGCCCACACTTGTGTGTTCCTACACATCCATTGGGGCTTAAGACCCATTAGATAGGAGTTGCTATTGGTGTCTGAACTGTATCTATCCATCGCCTGACTCCAAGGTACACAGTCCCTGGGCACCAGTATACAAAATTCTCAGGCCCGTATAGAGCAGGCAAACTCTACCCTGGCTAATTCTAGGACACAGCTCAACAATAGGATATTGATCAATACACTTGCTGCTTGTATGATTCAAATAACTGTGGACTGATAAAATGAACACGGCACCTTCATATTTAGCATTGCCATGCCATCTGATGTACTCTTTAGATTTGCGATGTGATCAAAAGACATCGTGTTGGCTGGGGTCGGGGGAAAGGGGGTGACCAGGAGGTTGAGTCGCAGGACATTCCAGCTCGTTCTCACAAGGCCAAACTACGGGGTGGTTTTGAATAAACCAAGTAGGTTCGACGCCTGCTGCTGCCATGTGCAGAGACTCTGTACGCAATGGGTGGGTAGAGCGGAGAAGGCAAGAAATGATGTTGTGTCTGCAGTTGTATGGATTTGACTCCCTGCTGCCACGCCAAGACACCCTCTGTCGGCATACATATCTCATGTAGCCTACTGTTTACAGGCAAGACAGTATAGCTACTCCTACGTCTTGACATACGCAGGCCGGCTCAATGCTGGTGACAATCCCAGCAAGATCCTATGGGTGTATGTATATACGAGTGATATAATTTCTTCCCATAACCAGTGAGTACCATCACGGAGCAATACTAGTCAGTTACTGTACAGCAAGGATAATTGTGGGAGGAGCTGCTGACGTTGTGAGCATGACCACCACCATAGTGACCTCGAAGGAATGTATTATCCGATGGTCCAACCATAAGTGCCGTTTGGTGTAGATTGACCAGTGACTATAGCAGGTGCTCGAATTAGAATGCGCTGGGGCCACCAGCAGCCGTGAAGGTAAAAGCCAACTAGGCTAAGATAGGCAGTAGACTACTGCAACTACTAGGAAGGGATGGGGCAAAAGGTTAGCCACCGGTCACCCCCTCTTTTGACTCCACTTGGCCTGCCTTAAACATGATAGTGATCATAATAATAATAATCATAAGGGAAGGCAGGGATCGTACCGGGTACCTCGAGAGTCGCCAATACTTAATACTTACCTTGTTACAGTATCAGTATCAGCAGCAGCAGCGGTAGTCAAGTTAATATAGTAACTTGCTTACAATGATTTACATTGTGATACAGTGGTGAGTGGCACATACTAGTTAGTATTTTAGGATATACTAGAGACTTATAAGAGAGACCATAGGTATTGTCCCGTAAGCCCCTGGATAAGCCCAAACACTTTCAAAAGTATGGGCGAGAATTGAACGATGCTTCGTAATAGCTCAATGTAGGTATGCTCTATTGGGGATAAGTTTTGGGTACAGACTAGTATTGACATTCTAAACCCTACAACGCCGTGCTTCTTGGAGATTGGGCCATGCTCCCCCCTCTTTCCCCTAAAGGGGCTGTGTGCATGTCACTGGTCACTGGCGCCTTTGGGGCATTTAGCTACCCATATATATATATATATATATATATATATATGAAATACTTATATGTAAAAGCCAGTCCCCCCACAAATAGTTCCCCGTCATTTACGTCTGACTTGGCCCTGTGCGGATTGGGTGACCCGGAGGCTATGCTACAACACACTGGATGAAGAACCCGTTCCGTATCCCTTCCCATTCCATCACAACAATAACCCTTCCATTCATTTCAGATATCTCATCGGTTGTCATTTGACAAAGATCTGGATCCACCGGCTTTGATCTACCCTCACGTCCTTGGGTAGGTCCCTTTGCTAGTGGGGTGGCCTTGCGTGACCCTCCTGTTTCGCAAGAATGAGACTGATGTGGATTATTATGGTGTGATGGCCTTAACCTTTTCATATATAATGAACCTCCACACCAATTTTCCATCAAATCTGCTAGCTCTTCTCACGCTCTTCCCCCACTCGAACAGAAGAAGTCACTCAATGCTAACCAAAAAGAAAAAGCATTATCAGCAGTAGTAACCATTCTCATTCACGGAACAACAGGCCGACTAGCAACCCTCAAATATCGCTATCCGAAGCGCATTCGATTACGCCATATTTGGTGACATGTCATCGGGACAACAGTCCCTAATTCTGTATTGATACTCCACAGCCCATATATACAAAGTTCTTCCACCTTGTCCCCAACGC